TTTCATATCAATGTATAAAGGCCAACATTAGTGCTGATACCAATATGTCCATGAAAGGCTCATATCTGGCAATTTATATCAGTAAACAATACATCTGATGGGAGCCATTACAGTGAGAGTGAGTCTTTGAAACCTGCACTTGTCTGGTTAGGCCCAAGGCTCATTCTGATCTCATTTACTTTGTTGTGTGAGTCAGACTTTAACTTTAACCTTAGCCTGAATCCTGAATTTGGATTCTGACCTTACGCTGATCAAAATGGAGGACAGTTGAACAGCAAAGTTGACATTAGGCTTGGTGGCAACCAGAGTAACCCAAAACACGAAATTTCTTGTTCGTTCCTTGTATTTCGAGGTCTTTTCTACTGTAGTTTGACTCTGGCACAAATTGTATAAGTTTCACAACTGAATCAACCCATGGTTGGTTACACTCCCACAACTAATCAGCTTTGTTAGGAGTCTGTGAGTCACCACCTCAAGGCAAAAGGAAACATTGGAGCTTGCCAACATTCCGCCATCGCCATCACCTCAAGAATACGATTCTCACACAGAGAAACTGAAAGAATGAGTGTCCAGAGTGTGACACCTTGTGGCTCTCCCTTTTCAAAGTAGAAAAAAAACAACATCTCTATTTGAACCAAATTGTTCCTGTGGCTATAAACTTACCGGTTTCTCAAGACAAGGGCATTGTATTGAGTTGAGGACACTGCTGGTCAGTGTGTCTGTGTGGGAAAGCCTTAAATTCTTCATTTTGCAGGTTAGGGTGTGCAGGTCGCTGACAATGATCTGCAGAATAAAGGTATGTGAGTGCTTTGAAAAACTTGAATTATATAATGGACACCCTCAGTGACCACAAGAACCGAAACCCATGCACATACCATCACTTGTGGCATGGGGCTTGATGGCTTAATTTGTTCACATGTAAAGGATATTTCATAGTTTGCTGTGGTCCTCGTGAAATAATCATCATTATTCATTCATGTCCGCTCAGGGACACACAGACCCGTCTGCCTGCTGCCCAAACCTCAGGTACAATGTCCACCTACTTGAATTGAGTGGATTGTGGGATCAGTAATGCATGCTTGGAATGCCCTTTCATTATGACTGGAACTGTGGACATGTAACGAGTATTGTTGCAGTAGATACACATCAAGCAGGGGTAGGGTCTTTGTTTTCATGGTCACTGAAGTATTTTTGATATTTTCAGAAACTGTACAATCACAATTTTAGCTAATGACAACTGAAACAGCACTCACCGAGCAGTTTGGCGTGCAGTTATGTAGCTTATGTCTTAGTTCTGGGCAGGACAAGTTGTCCAGCGAGTCTCTAATGCTTTGTCTCTTGAATGGATGAGAACATAGCAACAGTCAATAATAGTGATATAAGTTTGATCTTACCACACTGAAGATTGTTTTGGAAATATTATCAGCTTTCAAATCACCGAGGACATCTTATCTGGCCCTCTTTGCAAAGGGGAAAGCCTGTTGGCAGTCATTATGCAGAAGTAAAACATCGGGTTTCATCACATTCTCTGCTTAGTCATAGCAGTTGGTCAATCTTGGTCAGGGGATAGTAGAGGAATACGTATGGGCAAATAGGATCTTAACATTTCCAGTAAAGGTTCCATGTGGGACAGTAAATAGGAGCAACGTCTTACTGTTTTGTTGAGATGAATTTTCACGATGAAGTAATTCTCTTGAACTTCGGGAAGCCTTATGCTGTCACAGGACAGAGACAGAGGTAGAAGCAGAAGAGCAAGAAGACTGATGCAAAGAAGAGGCTGAGAGTTAATGGAGAGAGAGGGAGAGAGAGAAGAGGTCATTCATCTAATCAAAGACAATTTTTTTTAAGATACAACTCTGCAAATATTCATTTTCTATTATACAGCCTTGTTTCTGAGCCCTGCGGAGAAACAACAGCTCAAGGCCATCCTCTGCTGCAGCAGTTATCTGTAAGAATGTTGACTTAAATGAGTTTTTTTTATTTTCACTTTCACAGATGTTTTTACACATTTACAAATCTGAATGCACATGTTCAGATTTCTGTACTCAAATCTCACAACACATTTGCAGATTATTTTGCACATCTGATAATGCACACAGACCCACACCTTACTG